GGTTGTGAGGAAACTCTTCCCTGATGATGTCCGTCGTTCGACAAAAGCAGTCTTAGCCTGTTTTCACCGGAATCGAAGGAGATTGTCTCGGAAATGGCATCAACAAGAATGTTCCAGTAAAGCCAATCGGCAACTGGTCAAGAGGAATCCGCTGTCGTCTTCTGGTGGGATCAACTTTCGAATCTCGACACCAAACACATTCACTCGAAATGGAATTGGGGAAAATCAACTCTCATATAGTCAAAAGCTGAGCCAACTTCCTTAAAGACCAAACAAGGATGTCTCGTCGGCTGTCTCAATTTGAATGTGCTAGCAACATCAGACGATTTCACAACAATGGTACCCCTTGTCGTATTCTGGTGGGAGTGACCTATGCATCTCTTCATCATGAAATTTCACCCGAACTGAAAGCCATTTGAACGATCATGAACAAGTTTCGAAAACGAGATCGCAGCGAACGGAGACTGAGGACAAAGTATATATTAATTTAAACTTTTTAAATTAATAATATGAGATGTATTCACCCTATTTCGTGTAAGGTGATGAAGGACTGGTAGTAGAATTTTCCCACAATGATAATCAGTGTGATGAGATGTATTCACCCTATTTCGTGTAAGGTGATGAAGGACTGGTAGTAGAATTTTCCCACAATGATATGAATATGAGTTGACGTTTTCATTGAATTTCACATAGCCTTGCTTTCCCAAAAGATGTTCTCATCCCATCCTGCACTGTTGCGGTTCGACTCCGGTTGAGGGTGTTGATAAGACCGATGCGAGATCGAAACAGCAGTTCACTCTGGATGAGAACATCTTTGGGAAAGCAAGGCTATGTGAAATTCAATGGAAACGTCAACTCAACTCATATCATTGTGGTAAAATTCTACTACCAGTTCTTCATCACCTTAGACGAAATAGGGTGAAAACATCTCATATTACTGATTTACTGGTAGTCTTGAAACTCTACTCTAATACTAAAAATTCTTAAATTAATTTTTATCAATACTCTGTGTAGTACAATTCATTAAATGCTTTCATCATGTGTTCACTTCCCCAAGAGTTAATCCGATTTATCATTCTTTTCCAATTCATAAAGATGATAATTAGCGAATCCTATTTCCTGGCCTTTAGTCTACATGCATATGTGATATGATGGACAGACACGCACAGACTTTTATGTGAGATTCTTAGTGTTTCTTCGTCTACTGGAAGCAGTGACTGCACTTTACAGAACTTAGAGTTTCACATCATATTGTACAGCGTCAATCTATTTCTTTCCTATAAATTCTCATCTCAGTAATCAACACCGGATACGCATTTGTCATTCGCATACTTTGTTCTCTAGAAATGTTTGTTTTAATATGTTTTTTAAAGTGCATATTCTTGAAAAAATCTTTGATTTCAACTTTAGAACACACTGAAGGCTCTAACCCTGCCTCATGTTATCTCTATTGTTACCCCATCAAGTATCACCATGATCTCAACGCTCTCTACACAGATGCCAAAAAGCTTGAAGTGCAGACGAATGAGCTTCACCAGAATCTGGTCGCCGTGAGGGCGAAAGGTGGCTCTGTTAAGGCCATCCTCGCGGATGAGTTGAAGGTATTAAAGGTGAGTCAAGTCAACTTCTCGCCCACCTGGGGCCAAATAGGCCAGTTGGAATGTGGTGTTCAAAGGCACTTTTGGTGCCTGTGGATAAACCTATTTTGCCAATAAGTGAACTAATCATATCGTATCGAATAGAAGACTTGGTTTTCACCATTGGAATACATTCAATTCCTTATATTACCAGCCTACCTTAAACAACTGGAATCAGTATGAAAAATAGCCCTTGCAGAAAATTAGATCTTAAACATTAAAGTTACCTCATAGAAGAGATTAGAGGACAGACTTAGATTTTAATTTAAAAACCATGTCGTAATTTTGGTAAGTTCTTTTTAGAAGTATTTTAGAATCTTTTCGTAAAATTCGCAAATTAAATCTGAGAAAATAATTTTATTTTTCCGATGAAATTTCTCTGGCGCACCATTTCTCCAAGACCATTTAACCTAAAAATGGCATATATTTCGTTTATCTTCGCAGCCAGTCTATTTTCCATTAAAACCATGTTATTTGACCAAACTGTGGACGCCTATCTCTGGTCGCATGCGGCATCTCAAGTTGCGGCATCTCAACGTTGAATTTCCGTGACGGTTTGCTTATCCGTCTGCCCAGCTCCCTGACTGCCAGGCCCGCAAAGTTG